TAGCATGAATACTCGTTTCGTTCTCCAGCTGCTTGAAGTATGCCATTGTTGAGCGGAAGGTACTACTTGAAGTGTTATTTTGGTGAATTTGTATCCTACTGACATTGTTCCTAGTTGGATATTATTTTTGATTATGTTGCATTCTGTTGTCTTGGATACGTGGACGGTTTTTTGCCACTGACTTTTATTGTACAAGATGTCGAACTTTCTTTACCACGGCTGGAATACGAATTGTTACAGGCCTCTTTCTGAATGGTCCTCACGCCCCAACTTGATCCATATTCCTTTGCTTTCCAATCTCATTAAGTATAAGTGATATCCCCGTCATGGAAAATCTAAACCCCCGATCTGAACATATCTTTATGAACATTTTGCGTCGGAAAATGTTGTTACATACCCTTCCCACAAGTGCTCATCACACTAACTACGAAACAACAAATTGTCAAAATAATGGCTGGAGACGGCTTGAATGGGTTATGAAGAAAACTTTAATATACGTTGTACATTTGCTGTTATGTTAAACTTATATTAAAGTTTTTCTTCATTACCCATTCAAGCCGTCTCCAGCCATTATTAGTCTCAAAGTGGGTTCCTCGTCATCGAAATTGTCAAAATGTAGTTCTGATACAATCTGTTCTACCGTGACTTTATATAAACTGTGGTTGTGACGTGATGGCTTACAGTCTTACACTTTTTAAATTGTTTTTGTATGACGTAACTCAACACTCTGTAGATGAGTACCATAGGAAAGACTGTCCATCAGAATTTCTCAATAGCATTAATTACCCAAAAAGCATTATATGCAGCCTACCAAGAGAACATTAATGGCCAAACGTGGCTCACTGGTTAGCGTGCCGAACCATGGATCTGAGGTTCCTTTGTTCGCGCCATGTTACCAAAAAAAAAAAAAACGCGTTCCACATAATGCGGACAAGGGTGCGTTATAAAAATAACGATCAAATCCCACTACTCAGTCTGACAACAGCAGCCGAGGAGTTGCTGTGGTAGGTGTTGAACAGCTGCTTTCTCTCTTGTCTATTACTTTAAAATTAGAAATGACTAGCGCCGCAGATAGTCCTTCAGTAACATTGCGCAAGATACAGCAAAGAAACTGAATATTAGTAACGGCAGGTTACTGATTTATTGCCTCCAACATTTGTTTTATTTAAAATTCATATGGATAAGTACTTTAGAAACCGATCCAATTTAACTACTAACTACACATACATTTTCAAGTAAAATTTGTTAAAACAAGAGACAAATTATTAAATTTATTCAAAATCACTTACGATGCACATAGATCTAAAGACGTTTTCTGTTGTTTTTTGTTGTTGATTTTTTCAGATTTCTACAAGGTTTTCGTGTTTCTCATCTTCAAGGTATAACATTTCTCACATTGATTTAAGAAATGTTAGAGTTATTGAACACAAATTATGAATTATTAATAAGGTACAAAGTTAGATAATTTAATGAAATTCAATTCAACATCACTTTAACTGAGCGACTCGCCCCAGAAAAAGAATGAGGCCACTTCGGTTGTCTCGGATCAAGAAGAGGAAGGGTCGATTAATAATCAGTTCGAGGGATTTACGTCTGTTGTCGAGTTGAATGACGGTGTTTGCAGCCGCTGTCGTCCCTTCCTCGTTTACTTGGATGACGGCTTGGTGAAGGACCTCTTCTAGGTATAAATCACGATTCCCGGTAATCCCAGAAAAATCAGCGTTGATTTCGGTAAACGTTGATTCCATACCTAGAGACTTTAACGATTTTTTTAAGTTACGATTATCATTTAATTCAAACTTAGGTAAGCCAACTTTTACCACTTGAGTTTCCATCTGGGATAAGATGTCATCCAATATGGCTGTCGTGAGTCCTTTTTCCAAAGACTTTAGATCACTGATCTCTGATGGAAGAAGCACTATCATACTCATATCCTCATCTACATACGGGAAGCTTATGGCATATGTACTGAGATGTGCATATTCTGCATAGGGTGTATTGAAAGTCCCATGCATAACAGGAATTACGACCTCTTGACCGTTTTCGTTGGTGAAAACTTCCTCGCGCGTGTTTTTAGGGTCAAACGGTTTCAACCATTTCCCTTTGAAATAAACTCCATTCAACAAGATCATCTTAGTGGTTTCTGGCAGTTTCTCTGACAGTAGATTGTTTATCTTACTATGGGAAGCCCAGTATCCCCATGCATTTGCCCACTCTAGCACGGACACTGAATCTGTAAAGTTGACCTCTTTAATTGCGGATTTGTAATACTGTTCTAACCCATCTATGTAAGACTGCGAGATCGTATAACCATTCTGAATAAGGGCTGCATTTATACTGCTAAGTTCGTACTTTTCCTGTATGCTGTTCAACCTACTCTGTTCCGTTTTAAAGCCTTTGTGAACTGATTCTCCCTCGATTCCTGAAGCTCGATAACCCAAGGCATTCTCCATTTCCCGAGCAGTAACGCCAGCAGCACCTAGATAAGCCATACCTAAAGATACGGACAAGCTCCAAGGGGAGATAAAAACATTGTTCGGTTTATCCAGTGAATTAAAGAGTGAGAGAGCAAACTCATTGTTAACTTTGACCACACTCTAGCAAAACGGTCATTCTTTTTATCGTCTTCAGGTGTCGGAACACAACTACACTGGACGAAGATAGCAGCAAGGACAGTCCAAATCAGCAAAGTATCCATGTTAGTGTTAACCTAGGAACAAAAGCAAAATCATAAAATAACAAGTATCGTAGAAACTTCTTTAAGTTTTTATCGAAATAAATATATTTATCAGTGATAGTACTTCATCAATGCTTCTCATTTTATAAACCACTAACTTAATATCCACAATATTATTATCAACGATGAAAAATGTTTTCTATACAAATACAATAGTACTGTCTGTTGTATGTCCATGTAACTACTTCGCAGTGTGTGGATGGATCTTCACCAAAATTGGTATGGAGGTTCATTAGGTCCTTGTGGGGGTACATAAAAATTTTCAGTTTTGCGGTTTTTATTGGGGATTTGCATTTTTTTTTTTTACCACTACTTCATCTCCTGTGGATGTATCTTCACCAAATTTGGTATGGAGGTTCATGTGGAGAAACATAGAAATGTTCAGTTTTGCATTTTGCGGTTTTTATGACCGTTTTTTACCACTACTTCGCCCCCCTGTTGATGGATCTTCACCAAATTTGTCATGAAGGTTTGTTGGATCCATGCGGAGGAATATGCAAATTTGCAGTTTCATAT